TTGCCATTTTCCTACACTTTTAGTGGATATTTATGTGATACTGTGAACAATCATTTTGTTCAATTGTTTACTCGTTCTTTAAACAGATACTTTTAAAGTAGGTAATTGAGGTCAAGTATTATGTTCTATATGTGCCTGAATACAGAGATGAGAAATAAGGTTCTTTTCTGTTGTGCTTTGTTTTGAGTGAGGCTCTTTAGCATCAAGGAACTTAGAGTTCACTAAGGAGAGATACATAAATCACTGTGAAAATACAGCAATCCAATTTTGAGATAAGAGCAGTAGAAGTACAAAAGCAGGAGAGCAATGACCTCTCTGGAAGGCATTGGGCAACTCTTTATAACCCTGACTGTGTACATCAGAACCCCTTTCTTTTAATTTGTGATAGCTTGAACTTTATAAGGATGGCAAATAAATCGGAAAAATAATCTTGCTTCATGTTCTACCAGAAGTGGTTTTAAAAGGCAAACCACATTTTGAATTAAACTTTTGTCAGAATATAGCTTAATATCAATTCTGTGGAAAACAAAATCTTCTTACTCATCATCATTATTGAAACATTACTGGGGAATTTGGGAGTAATCACTTATTTTCTTAAATTAGAGAAGTGAGTACACTTTAGCCTCATATATCAGCTGTTCATGTTAATGTTATGAAATACAGGCCTTTCATGAGTGTCATATATTATGTGTCTTCAATATTTATTTAAAAAATTAAAAGAAGGAAAACTAATAACTTAAATATTGAATTGCAATTAACAGTATTTTACTCATACCCCTTTTTTCCTCATGAAACTCATAATAATAATAAGAATATTATAACAAGAAAATTTAGTTTCTCTTGAACCTGTCACTTCTATTTAATGTTTCTTATGGTTGTCCGTGTGAATTTTTTTATGCGATTGGCATTCAAGTATCTTCTGGTTTTTATTGTTGTAAATTGTGCTTGATTAACTTGATCAATGTAGTGTTTTCTTTTTCACCAGAGTTTTGGTAAACATGAATTTCCACGGCTGAGATTTTTTTTTAAAGATTTATTTATTTATGCATACAAGAACTGGGGTATAGGCCAGAGGTGTGTGGCGGGGGGATGAGAGGATTCACCAGAGACAGAGTGGGGAGCAGCTGAAAAATATTGCTGAGGGGAGCAGCAGGAGAGTCAGGAGAGATCTGCTGCACCATGTGGGTATCTCCCTGGCTGGGGATCGAACTTGTGCTGCAGTGGTTGTGGATAGCTTCATGGGTTGCGTCTTAATCCCTTGCGCCACCAAGGAGGCCCCAAGACTGAGATTTTAAGCCAGAGTATATGAGCACATCAACTCTGTATTGTCTGAATGTTTTCAAAGAAAATGTATTATTTGCATTTCACTACCATTTTTCTTACTGTTACTTAACTCTTCTAGAATGTTTTGTAAAATGATTGTTTTTGCATATTTGTAATGATGACAAAAATTATATTAGAAAAGAGTATGTAACCACTGTTAGGAAATGAGATGGGAAGTTGTCATTTAACCCCCTTGTTCATTCCTTAAACAAAATTAGTTAAGTGTCTTTGAAAGTTTCAGAAGAGAATAAGTAGGAAATAATGAATTTAAAGAAGAGATATTGTGATGTTGGTAATCATTATGAGTAATGTGCCCTTCAGAGCACCAGGAAAGCAAATAATATTAAAGCATATATTTAATTTGTTAATTTAAATTTTGCTGTGTGTAAAGCACAAAAAGTTCCTGAGTTACCGACTCAAGTATAAACCCATGTCTCTGTCTTTAGAACTTGTGGTATTTTTTTGGTATTATATGAGGCTTTATGTTATGTCAGCAGTAATAAGTTCTTTTGACATGTGGTGTATTTGTAAGTAGTTATCCTATAAAGAAAAGGTGCTCTTAATGTATACTTTGTTGTACTTTTTTTTGTTTACACTTAATGAATTTTAATATGACCTTAATTTTCATGGACAGTTTCACTGATATTTCAATTAAAAGTAGGCAGAGAAAACTTGGTTCTTTACTGTTATAGATTATGAATGTGCTAATGTTTATTTCTGGTCTGTATTTTCTCTTTTTTCAGTAAATAGTAATAAAATGTTTGGTGTATAAAGTAGATTGGATACATGTCTTTTAACAATTAAAATATTTTTCTTAACACTAGGGGGCACTCCTGATCTGTGAATTCATACCTAAATTAATCTCTAGGATTAGAGTAAAATGAAATCATTTGAAAACTTTTCATTGTAAACTGAATATTGCCTTCAAAGAGAATTTGGATCAAGCTCATTTTTTTATAGCAGTGTCAATATACGTTGATTATTAATATAGTGTCATCAGGATATTAAACTCATAAAATGAAACAGATGGGAGGAAATTAAAATATTTCTGTATTCGTTTTCACATTGGCTTTTAAAAATGGGTTCTAAATGGTGTTAAAATCCATTTATTTCTATTATTTTGTCATTTAAAAATTCTAGTACAATGTTTTGCTCTTAGCAGGCGGGATGTATCTGAAGAAATAAAGATAAAGGCTGAAGGCTGCTATCATTAGTAATGGCATTTTAGGTATTTGAAAACAAAGAACAAATTTTCTACATCTAAGTGGTTACAGTTAGGATTTTGGTGATGCCCACCAAAATGTATTTTGCCAGAGGTGTATTTCTAAGGTTCTTGTCTTTTCTTTTTTAATTAGAAGACTCTATTAAATTTAAACTTTTTAGGTAGCTGACAAAATTTGCATCGATATTGGGGTTTGGTGAGTAGGGTTACTCCGGATCCTCTGAGAAAGTTTTCAGCATAGTTTCCTGTTCCGCAACACACAGCCAGTTTATAAAGAAAAAAGACATTTGCATAGACACAAATAGGCAAAGGCTGTGTTTTAAAAGAGCCGCCTTGTTAGAATAAAAGAGGTGCCTGCACAGACATAGAGGGCCAGAAGGCTGCATTTGAAAGGGACAGGTTTATTAAGGAAAAGAGACATCTGCAAAGATGCAGGTGGGTAGTCTTGGGACAAGATATGCATTTTGCCAGAGCAAGGGCGGTTCTTATATAGTGTTCTTTGGGGAGTTCATTCCTTTGTGGAATTTTGTGGCTTTGGGGTCAAGTTAGGTTGTTTTTTTGGAAATGATAATTCTTCTGCCCCCACTTAAGATTCCTGGAAACTTCTGTAGCTGGTTTAATGACTAGCTTTTATTATCCTACCTCTGATTTTTGTCCTTGTGAGACCTTCCATCCTAAATCTTTCTACTGTAAGCTTCCACCATCATCATAGTGGCACACATCATGTGTCAGCACTGGTATAGGTTGCTTGCATGTATTAGTTTATTTCTCTTGACCACACCTTTATGAAGTAGCTTATTTATTTTATTGACAAGGAAACTAAGTACAGATAATTTAAACTGCATTCACAAATCAAACTTGGGCAGTCTTGTTTTAGAATTTGTTCTTTTAAATCACTGTCGTGTATTGCTCTTCAGAGAGAAGAAATTTACCATTAAGGAAATTATTATTGACCTTTCAAAATCAGTTGTTGAAGTGAGTATAGTTTAAATTACCTAATTTATATAGATACTTGTTTGTCTTATAAAACATCATAGAAATTTGAAGTTGGAAAAGAACCTTAAAATTCATTTACTTCTGTCATTTTATAGAGACGAAATGCCAACCAAACGGTTGAAGTTACTTAGTCAGGTAACACACCAAGATATCTATGGAAAGGGCTTAGAGCCTCCAATAAATGTTTTGTCTCCTAGTAAAGCAGAAAGAAGCATGGCTTTGTGGAAAGAATATTTGACTAGACTTTTAGGTAGCTTGAATTTTATTCTTGATTCTCAGTTCACCAGCATTTTTCAGAGGCTCTGTGTCTTTATTATCTGAGATTATCACTCTCTTCCTTAATCAGTCTAATATTTGTGAAGATCAGTGAGATAATGGATTGACCATACCACATATTGTATTTTATGACATGTTCTTTTATTTTTAATGAAATGTAATACCTCTGTAAATTACATTGCCAGCAAAGGTAAACTTCAGTATTATTTATTTAGGGGTTACTTAAGTCTCTAAGAATTGATTGCTTTATGCCATGTGTTAACTTTCCATTTTTTTTATATTTTATTTACTTAAAACTAAAAAAGTTTTTTAATTTTCTTCACAAGTGAAAACATGATTTTGCTTTGCTGATGAACATAATAGTAACATATAATGGGTACTGTCCATTTATTATTTCTGATTATTTGAATAAAAATCATTGAAAAAACACATGTAGAATTGTCTTCAAACTGGATTTAGTGCTTTTGTTATAGGACAGGGAGAGGGGCAGCCCAAACCCCGCAAACCTGCCTATTCTAAATGGGTTCTGCCATCCGCCGCATCAACACAAAACATAGGACACTTTAATGGGAAGGATCTTTAATAAAAACTAGGAAACAATACAGGTGAGGCAAAGAATCTAGTTTCTAAATGAAGCACCCAAAGTTACCCGTCCCCTCGTGGGTAAAAGTCCATCCAAATGGGATTGGCCCAGAACAAGGCCCCAAAGCCTGCCACAAGTCTAAAGCATCTTCCAGTGGGGACCCACAGAAAAGGGTCACAAACAACTGGACAAGCCCGGAAGGAAAAGAGCAAAATCAACATCAAGATAAAAGCTGCCATGGTCACCTCCCCACGGGTCTCACCCACATCTGTGTCACCCAGTCCACGACCAAAAAACAAGCGCAGTTTCTTCACGTGTCTCTAGGCTCCATGTGCCTCCTCCAGGTCTCCTGGCTCCATCCTGCTTCCTTCCTCAGTCTCTTCTCCAGCTTCTCCTCTTCCTGCTCAGCTCCACCCTTCCTTGGGTGGGGCAGGAATCTGGAACCTCCCCCTTTCCTGGGGACCACCCTGTTACACTTTAACTGAAATAAAAAGTAGAGTTTATTTAAAATGGAAATACTTCTTGTCATGATAGCGGCGTGGATTTATTTTCTTAAACTTCCAAAAAGATAAATTTAAAATTTTCTGTTTCTTGTTACAGGAATAATAATGTATTTGCGATCTTGGACATGAGGCTGCCAGTCTTCTGTTACTGTTGACATCGGCACAGGGACTGATGTTGTGGGAAGCATGGACCTCATGAACGGGCAGGCTAGCAATGTTAATATTGCTGCTCCTGCTTCGGAGGTAAGGGCGTTCAAGAACTTAGTTGTAAAGTTTCTTGCCAGGCATTCTGATTCTTCAAGGATTATGGCTGTTCATAGATTTAAGTCAGATCTTGAGAAAAAGGGCTACAGATTTTTTATTTTTTAAAAAAAATTTTAGATTTTATCTTTCATATGTTCACTGTATATCATAAAAGTAGTTAATCCTTATCCATTTAAGATCCTTGACAATGATTTCCTAAAAATTTGTTTAGTTTTAAAGAATACATAGAATTTCTTTTCAGAATATGTTTATATTACATTAACCTTGAAGGTACCAGGACAAGTGGGGCAAAGAAAGATACTTTTATTTAGAACCACTAAATTTTAGATACCATCTAGATTCCTTTATTCTAGCCTCTTGGAGGAGAGCAAAGAACCACACTGGCATGTTGGAAGAGCTGCTCTGGTTTGCAGCTAGAGTGTTAAGATTAAACACTGAACTAGTTGTTCATCTCTCTAGTTAATCTATTGTGATTTCATTTTTTACCTTGCCTTCTTTCTTTTTTTTGCTTTGTTTATAAATCTAGGGTACTTACTCCTTTCCTTAATAACTTTAGCATCTAATACCTGTATTTCCTCTTATTTTGTTGCCTATTATAAAGAATTAGAATAATGTTTATGTCCCTTTAGCACTTTGGCCTCAACCTTCCTTCATAAATTCACTTCATTTTGCCCCAGCCAGTTGTTCAGGCTTTGATATCATTGAAAATATTCTAAGTCTATGGTTTTATTTTTCTTCTGTATATGATTTTTATATATTTTTTCTAACTCTGGCTTCCCTTAAAAATTTCGTTAAGCATTTCTTTTAAAAAACATTTTGTCAGTCATTTACGTAACTGTAATTTAGAGAGTATAACTTCATCACCTTCATATGTGCACAAACGTCACTCACCCTCCACCAAAAGTACAGTGTGTGCCCTATCACTTCCCTTCCCCATCCTCACCTTTGTTCCCCAGTCCCCTCCAACAGTCTAAGAATTATTCTTGCGCGCTTTGTCAGTTTTCTTTAGTTATTTAAATTCCACAAATGGGTAAAACCATCTGGCAGCTACTTTCATTTTATGGCTTATTTCACTTAGCACAATCACCTCAAGATCTGGCCATTTTTGTCCCAAAAAGCATCATTTCATCATTTTTAATAGCTGAGCAGTGTTCCATTGAGTATAAATTCCACAATTTCTTTAAGTAGTCATCTGTTGTTGGGCAGTCAGGCTGGTGCCACGACGTGGTTATTACAAATAATGCTACTCTGAACATAGGGGTGCATACATTTTTTAATGTTATTGTTTTCATATTTTTTGGATAAATATATAGCAGTGGTATTGTTGGATGATAGAGTATTTCCATTTTTATTTTTGTAAGCAATCTCCATACCATTTCCCACCAATGTGGATGAGAGTTCCTTTTTTCCACACCCTCACCGACATTTGTTATTTCATGTCTTTTTGACAGGTCATTCTCATCAGAGTCAGGTGATACCTTATTGCAATTTTGACTTATTTACCTAGTAATAAGTGATGTTGTGCATTTTATTTTATGTGCCTGTAGGCCATTTGAATGCTCCTATTTGGAGAAGTCGATTTTGTCTTTTGCCCATTTTTCTGATTGGATCTCTTGTTGTTTTTGTTGAGCTGTATGAGTTCTTTATGTATTTTGGAAATTAACTCTTTCTCAGATGTTTGTTGTGCTGATATCTTCTCCTAGTCTGTAGATGGCACTTTTTTGGGTACTTTTTGAAGTATTAACTCTTTTTAGTTTGATGTAGTCCCTTTTTTTTTTTCTTTTATTCCCCTTACTGTTGGAGGTGCTTCCCTGAATAGTTATATCCCCAAATACATCTTTGCCATTTGATATCTGGTAGTGTATCACCTATGATTTCTTGTAAGCATTTTATGGTTTCAAGTCTTATATCCCATTCTTTAATCCATTTTGAATTAGTTTTTGTGTATGAAACATGGTTCGCCACGTTTCCAGCACTATGACACTATTGGCAGCCACTGCAGCACTAGTTGAGTCCCCAGCATTGAAGAGAGACCTCACCTGTCTCTCCAGCTGCTCCCCTCAGCAGTGTATTTTAGTCAGTCCACCTGTTCTCTTCCCCACTGTGTCTCTGGTGAATCCTCTCAACCCCTCCCCACCCCCCGGCCTACACCCCAGCTCTTGTATGCATAAATAAAAAATAAAAGATTAACTGTGCTTTATTAAATATTTCTGATGGACCAGATGTTTTACGTACAATATGAACAAAAGCAAGCTACTTAATTACTATTCTGTGCCACAACCTAAGAAAATAGGCCAACCCCTTCCTCTGATTTCTGTTAAGAACCTCACCATCTCCCTAGTCATCTGAGTTTAAATCTTTGAATTTGTCTTTAACTTACATCTCTGCCTACCACAATCATTTTCTCAGGCAGAGTCTGCTAGCAGAACTGAAATTATAGTATTCTGTAATGTGGTCATAGAAATGAAGTCCTCTCATCTTTGCCATATTCTGTTGGTTAGAAACAGGTCACAGATTTTACCCAACTTCAGGTGGAAAGGGTAATGCAAGCAAGTGACTAACTACCACATTGTGGAAGTGCTTGGCAGGTGTCTTAGCACCCGTCCAGCACACATTTCTAAGAACCAGTTCTTAATTTCTGCTGTTACCATCTTAATTAGGTCATTGTTTCTTGTCTAGATTATTGCAACAGTGGTCTTTTAGTTGGGTTTGCACTTCTATTTTCTGGTATTTTTCATCTGTTTGATTGATGTTCAGTTTTAATACTCTTAAAATACACCTATTAAACTTTATAGTATTACTAAACTATGTTGTTCCTCATTGTCTTACTAATTAAATATAAATGACCCTCAGCCTTACATTCAAGACTGCTCACAATGGCCCACATTTTCTTGCTAGTGGATTTGTTACTAATCTTCCACTTGAAACTTAGATCCTAATGAAGGAATACTACATATGGCTATGTTCGTATAAACCCTTAGCTTTTCATACTTCTGTTATAACTTTGCTCACTGAAAGATTGAGCTCTGGTAAGATTATAGAGTATTTGCTCTCCTTCTCTCCACCTTTCCACCATATCAGCAGGACTCCTGTATAATAAAGGATTGCAATTGTAAAAGAACTGTGAAACTCAAACTCTTGTCAAAAGAGGAGTTTCTAGGAAAACCCAAAGACAATAGGAAAGACAAAAGGAAGGACACTGGAGGAAATTGAAGACTCATACACCTCTAGCAACCACAAACAGTCAACACTGCATAAATCCTACCTAGATAAACATAGAAATTCTTCTTACACTAAAGGCCTGTTGACCTCAGTTACTGTTACACAGTACATCATGTCTGGCTTTCAGCTAATTACAGGGCATGCACAAAAGTGAGAAAAAACAGAGTGTGAAGAGACAAAGCAAGCAACAGAACTGGACTCAGGTATGCAGAAATTTTAGAATTACCAGGCTGGGAATTAAAATAACCACGATTAATAGTGCTAATGTCTCTAATGGAAAAAGTGGGCAAGATGTAAGAACAGATGGATACATGAAAGCTGGGATATTGAGACTCCGAGACTCAAAAGGAAATGCTAGAAAACAGAAACATTCTGACAGAAATGAAGAATGACTTTGATCAACTCACAGATATGCTTCTTGTAGACAATAGAGAAAAGAATCATTTGGCCTGAAGATATGTCAATAGAAACATCACAAACTGAAATGCAGATAGAAAAGAGAATGAAAAAAAATTAAAACACAGTATCCAAGAACTGGAACTGTGGGTCAACAATAGAAGTTCTAACATACTCATAATCAGAAGGAGAAGAGAAAGAAGAAATATTTTAAGTTATATAGTAGTTGGGGATTTTCCAAAATTAATCACAGATATCTTCCTCTCTAATGACTTTGGTATTTAGCTGTTACTAAAGTGGGGGGAAATAAAAATGAGGCATTAAAACTGACATACAACAGCTGCTAGGTTGACATTTTATACCTCAATCTTTAAAATTTTGACCATTTTTTTGTGCTATTAAATATAACCTCATAACTTTGTCACCATTTAGTAGAGCATGATCTAAAAAAAAAGAGAAGGAAATTCTGTGGTATGACGTAGATGAACCTTGAAGACATTATACTAAGTAGAATAAGCCAGTCACAAAAGGACATACACTGCAGAAGGAGAAAATCAAATACTGTATTATTTCATTCACTTCTGGAATTAGACTCTGACAACAGAATGACAATCACCAGAAGGGAAGGAGCAAGGAGGGAATAGTTGAAAGGGACTGATTGGTAGTAGATTTTGACTGGACATTTAGCGATGGGTGTGGTATGATACATACAAGTTGCTGAGGTGAGAAATATTACACCTGAAACCAAAATAGTGTAACTTTAAAAGGGGATAAAAGTTAAATCAGTTTTTATAGTTACGATGGTCTAATTTCAGCTATGAATATGTTTTTATCTCACAGTACAGATGAAGTGGAAATTGAAAAAAATAATAAGATTTTCAGAGCCAGAAGCCACCCTTTTTTCTATATATAGTAACAACAAAGTCAAACAGAAGACACTTAAATTTGTAATGTAATAGGAAGAACAACATCAATTGTACTATCACAGACAGACATCACTTAACAAGACTGGATTATTTAATTGATGGAGTTCTGAATGTTTTTTCATGGTTAATATTATAAAAATAAGTTCTTTTCCTTAATAAAAATAGTTTTAAAAACTATAAATCGATGTATTTTACTTTCCTGTCTTCCCTTTGTCCAATTTGAAAATCTTTGAATTTTTAAAATCCTATTTCTATCACAAATAATAAGGATGAGAAAACTGACAGACAAGAAAATTACTTACTCAGGAACCTATTCATCTAAGGTCAAGGTTAGTTTTCAAGTTGCCTGACCCTTTTATTTAGTACTCTTCCAACTAAGCAGCATGTTCTTCCTGACTTTTCTATAGTATTTATTCTTTCCTCAGTTTTTAGTCAGTCTAGTTTCTGTAACATTAACTGTGAAACAGTGTTAAAATGACTGCATTTTCTTTCATTTTAACAGAAAAGTAGCAGTTCTGAATCACTAAGTGACAAAGGTTCTGAATTGAAGAAAAGCTTTGATGCTGTGGTATTTGATGTTTTGAAGGTTACACCAGAAGAATATGCGGTGAGCCTCCCACCTCTGCTTTCTCCAGTTTTAGCTCATAATTTACATTGAGTTAGAAAATGTGGGCATAGCAAAGAAGATGGGTTTAAATAAAAGCTAGATCTAGATGAAGGAGCAAGCAGAGGGATGACGTGGGAAAATTGAGAAGAGCAATAGATACTTCTCGGGCAGCTTCATAAGTTATACTTTTAACTTGGTGTAAGTAATAATATGTACCTTTATGATAATTGCTTTCATCTCTACCATCTCCCCAAGCCAACTATACTTTTTTGAACATATGTAAGAAATATTTTTACTTTTTTATAAGTTCAAAAATTAAGATGTGGTATGTGTACGAATAGAATATTACTCAGTCATCAAAAAAGGCAGTATCTTACCATTTGTGGCAACATGGATGGAACTAAAATGGTTAATGCTAATAAGTCAGAAGAAGAAAGATAAATACTGGATCAGATAAAAACAGGCTTATTAACTGACCCTTGAAAGCTAAATGTACCTCTGAAGTATCCAGAGGGGAAAGGGCTATAGGAAGGGGATGAGAATAGGGAGAACAGAGCACAAATGGACTGGGTGATTCAGTGGCAGGTGTGCTGGGGTGGCAATAATTGGGGGTCAGGAGGGAATTCCGTACTTCCACAATACCAAAAACAATGCAAGCCAGTGTTAACCTCAATCAGAAAAAAAGTACTTTCAGAACTTAAGCAGATAAAGTATAAATTTTAAAAATTTTATATATTTTTACATAATTTTTCATTTTTGCACAATGTCAAAATGAACAAGAAAAACTTATTTCTTAATTGATATGTGTCCATTTATGTACTTTCTCCCTTAATTTAAGAGTATATTGATTTCCTGATAGTAAACCTCTCTTGCATTCTAAGAATAAACTGTGCATGGTCATAACATATATTCTTTGGTATGTTGTTTTCCTCCTGTTCTTAGATATGAGTTACTGTGGGTTTAGTTTCATTACTTCTTATAAATCAAAAAGAAAATATTTTTATTAATATCATGTTTTATTTTACTGATTAAGTAGATAAGATTTAATAGTCACATTAAGAACACTGCTCCATATTCCCGTAGATCAGATTTTTGCTTTTGATTTATTCTGTGGCTTTGTCCAAATTTTTAAATATTTTTTATTTTTCTTTACCTCATTTATCTCACAAGAAAATACCAAATTTATCTCACAAGAAAATACCAATGGCTTATGATAATTAGAAATAATTACATTACTACAGGACTAAATATTTATTTTCTGTAAGCCCTTATAAAATTGATACTTTTCTCTGATAAAGTTTTGACTTTCAGTTCAGAATATAGTTTTAATTTAGAATGTATGTCTCATGGAATCCAAAAGAAGGAATTATCATTTTATTACTTTTTATTTCAGGGTCAGATAACGCTAATGGATGTTCCAGTATTTAAAGCCATTCAACCAGATGTGAGTAGTTTTAATAACTTTCCTTTTAAATATATCAAGTGGTCAGTTATAGTTTAGAATGTTAAATTATACTTCATATTTTTAAATGTTTAAAGCTTTTGATGTAACTTACCTATGTATTGTTCAGGCCTCAGAAACTCACGTAGCATTCATAGCTAGCTATACAGTCAGTCATAGATAGACTGTTTGAATCATTTGGGATGATTTGATTATTACTTTATTGAAGGGAAAAATAGACTTAAAGAAATTGAATGATTTACTTAAGACTTTGTAGAGTTTTAATAGAGGAATGGAAATAAGAAACTGGGTTTGCCAACTCACTCCAGTTATCTTTTCCCTTATACCTTTACTTTGAGACTTTGTAAATGTATTTTGACATTTTGGGGAAAAGAACATTAGGAATGTCATTTTTTATTTTTATTAAAAGGAAGGAAACTAACATTTAAATCATTTATTATACTACCTTTGTGTGTGTGTGTGTGTGTGTGTGTGTGTATACCTGCTTGTGTGGTGTGCTTATAATTATCACAACCTGCATATGGTAGTATCTGAGGAAACAGAATGACAATGATAGCTAAGTTTTGAAGTTCGAAAAGCAGATGCTTTTCCTACTCTTATGAAGTAAGAATGTAAATATGATTTTGTGCCCCCAAACTACACCATTCATGATACTGAAATGTTTAAGCTATTTGGGGAACAAAATATAGTGTATTTGTTGTGATATTTACAAATCTACAATGACATGGAACCTATAATGGACTCATAAGCAGAGAAAACATCTGTTTTCATGGTGTAAAAGAAAAACTCAGTTTTTCTTTCTGTATAGAGAAAAATACAGCTCTTCCTTACTCCGTGTTTCTCTCCTGTGAGCCGAGCTTCCTTTACTATGCACACAAAACATTTCACTTCCAGGTCATCAAGAGTGTGGATGTTTCTTTTCACGCCAAGCAATTCTCTGCAACAGTAACCTGTTAACCCTCAACCTAACTGAATTTTGACACTATCCTGAGCTAGCATCAGATCTCACAGGTTAAGAACTCAATTTCACAAGACTGTCCCCATCCCATTTCAGATGCCAGCCATACATGGTATGTTCTTAGGTTACCCACAGCATCTTATTTGATCTTATTTGATCATCTTATTTGATCCTCAAGTCAGAGGATGCCACAACCCCCTTCTCAGGTTATGTTAATTTGCTAGAGTGGCTCCCAGAGCTCAGGGAAAGACTTAGGTTTTGCCATTTTATTAAAGGATACAGATGAGCAGATGAAGAGAGATACATAGTTGAGATCTGAGAGGGTCTTCGTGGAGTTGGGTGCATCACCCTTCCAGTGTGAATGTGTCACCCACCTGGAACCTCTCTGAACCCCATGCTACTGGGATCTCTATGGAGGCTTTGCTTTGTAGGCACCATCAGTTGTTCATTTTATGTTCAGCCCGCTCCCTTCTTAAGTGAATGGGAGATGGAACTAAAACTTCCAAGCCTCGAATTATGGCTTTGGTCTTTCCAGTGACCAGCCACGAGTTGCCTCATTAGAACAAAAGATATTCCTATCACCCAGGAAATTACCAGGGTTTAAGGAGGTTTGTGTCTGGAACCTGGGTCAAAGACCAAGTGTTAGAACAAATAATGCACTCCTAGTATTCTTATCTCCCAAGAAATTACAAAGGTTTCAGGGACTCTGCCAGGAACTGGGGGCAGTGACCAATGTATGCATTGTGATATCTCACACATAGTGTATAGACAATAGTAGTCCTGTGATTTCTTAAGTAAGTAACTTAATCACTTAGTAGCTCAGGTTTGTTACTTATAAAATGAAGGCGTGGGCCTAAATGATCTCTGAGTCCTTGTTATTTCTATAGTTCTGTATTTTTCTGACTTTTCCCCCATAACATGGAGAGCTCTCTGAATAGATTAGCCATAGGAAATGAGGAGCAATCTTTTCTATAAATAAGACAAACGGAAATCTGATTTTTTCCTCCGTAGATGTTTTTTTCCTTATTCCTTTTGAATAAACTGCAGTGACAGTATTTCTGTTTCACGTGAGATTAGGGCTATCCAATAGAGATATAATGTGAGGTGCTCATGTAAGTTTACATTTTTTAGTGGCCACATTACAAAGTACAAAGAAATAGTTTAATTTTGATGATTTTACTCAATCTATGACGTCCAAAATTCTTCAATTTGTAGTCAGTGTAAAATTTATTTGCATGTGTTATGTTCTTTTGTTCTGTACTAAGCCTTTAAAATCCTGTATATATTTTACAATTATAGTATGTTTTTATTTGAGGTAGCCACAGTACGATTGCTCAGTAATCATTTGCAGCTCAGGGGACAGGGGCTTAGACATTGAAGATACGGATAATGATTTCTTGAAGACAGATTTCAAGTGAATATGAAATTTCAAAGTGAGCCTTAAAGTTTCCTTTTTATCTAAGATAAACACATGCAGTTTGCAGAAACATGGATGGAGCTAGAAGGGATCATGCTCAGCGAAATAAGTCAGAAAGAAAAAGAAAAATACCGGATGGTCTCACTCATAGCAGGAATCTAGAAAACCTAAATAAGAGACCAGGAAAAAGACTAATCAATACAAAGTAAAAATCAAAATCAACAAAATAAACCAGAGACACACTACTGGAGGCAGGTGGGGAAAGGAAGGATTAGAGTCAAAATAAGGTGGGGGGGGTGCAATTGTATGGGGAATATAACCAAAATGAAAATGCATACATTGTGCAAAGATGAAAAGTGATGTAAGAATTATATAAAATAAAATATTTAAATAAAAAAGTTTTCTTTTTATCTAATTCACACCGATCCCCTTGATTTTTTTAATCTCTTAAGTATCTTATTCTTTTTGTACTCTCAACAACGCAATCCAAGAAACCATCTTATCTCAACTGAACTGAAGTACCCTCATATCCTGCATCTACTCTGACCCTTTTAAACTCTTCTCTACCCAGTAACCATGGTAATCTTTCCAAAATGTTAATCTGTTCATATGATCCCTCTGCTTAGAATACTTAAGTGACTTCCTGTGGCTCAAAGAGGGTAAAGATAAACTATGCTAATATGGTCTACAGTTCTCATCATAGTTTTGTCTTTTCCTCCTTTCTCCAATCTCATCTTAAACCCTTTCACCTCTTCCTGGTCTGGATAGATTTCTGGCCTTTTAGTCTCTCCCATCATTAAGCTGCTGTGCATCCTATTTAACTCTGAAGTACTCATACTTCAGTTCTCAGATCAAATTTGACTTTCTCAGGTAAGCTTTTCTTGTCTCTCCCAGCACTCTCACGTCTTTATTGTCAGTTGCAGTTTTACATTTACGTGTGATTCAACAATTATTTACCAAGTGTCTTGTATACTAACCACGGTTCAGTTGCTGGAGATAAGCAGTAAACAAAAGGACTAAACTTCCTCCACCTGTAAACCTTGCATTTGAGTAAAGTGAAATACAGTGTGTCATGAAAAACATAAAGCAGCCAGAAGAAGCTAGGGAGAGAGAACAGTGGTGGGAGCTGTGGTTTTAGATGGGGGAGACTTTAACGAAAAGGTAAAGATCAGAGGAGAATAAGGAGCAGGCATGTGAATATTTGAAAGACGAATGTTCAGGCAGAGAACAACCAAGGCAAAGGCCAGGGAGCTACAGTGAGTAACAAGGGAGAATAGGAGAGGTGAGAAATAGAATGAGGGCTAGATGGTGTGGAGCCTTAAGAACCATCAGTTTGAAAAAGGTGGCTAGTTATTGGAGGGTTTCAGGCAGAGGAGTGATATTTTCTGACTTAGGTTTTAATTAGCTCTTTCTGACTGCCAACTAGGGTATGTGGGAAAGGCAGCGTGGAGGGAAAGAAAGGTGGTACCAAGGACTGAATTAAGGAGACAGGTGAAAGATGGTGTCTTGGATCAGGGTGGAGGTAGAAGGGAAGCAGGGCCCCTTGATTATTAAACCCAGCCCCAATGAAGGGCATCAGGTGCAATTTGCCTCCTACCCTACTGGGGCTAACTCCAGCCATAGTTCCTTGGAACCCTCCAGCTCAGGAGCCTGCCCTGACCTCAGTCGATTGCCAGGCTGGACAGGGGCCCAGCTTTTCCTGTTTCTATCAGTCTCCAGGATATTAAAAATGGACCATTTTGATTGGAGCTTGACCAGCACCATTCAAACAGCTGGAATTGGAGCGCTTCTCCTACCCTCCCCATCCCCCATCCCAGTGTTTAGTTACAAAGCCCAGATGGTCAGTTATAAAAACCCAGCTGGTGCTTTCCCTTCACACCCCCATTTGGTTTCTAGTGTTCAGTTATGCAGATAGCTTGAGACTGTAAATGGACCAGTCTGAATGGAGTGCTCATGGTTGCCAATCAAGTAAAAGGACCAATCAGGTTTGAAAGGTGGGCACCTTGGAGAGTATATAAGCTAGGCTCTAAATAGCTGGAAAAGAGAGTTGGAGAGGCATTCTGATTTGTCTAGAGTCTCTAATGAGAAGACCTTTCTTGAGCTGGCACCAACCCCTCACAGACCTGACCTCAGACTTGGCCTCCACTGTCACCTGCTGAATGACACTCTGGACACTGTGCTAGGTGTCCCTAAAAGAGCTGTTTGCTGTTGGCTTTATGCTCAGCATCTCTGAGAGTGCTAACATTGGTACCTGCCTCTGACACACCACCTGCTGTTGCTGTTGAATCTAGTAAATTTATTTTTTTGTTCCTGTCCATGAAAATAAATGCTCAAGAGCTGTATATAACTTAGTTTTTGTATAATTTTGAATAACATTATTTGAATGTATATACACTATGTGTAGCTATATTATAAATATAAAATATCTAGCTGTATATAAAATTTTTAGATTATATATACTTCACAAAACTGAAAGATGGCTAGTTAAGTCACACCAAAAGTAGTAAATCAAAACTCATTAAGTTCTATATCATATGTAACTGTATTTCAGGTGATGATTGATTAATTGATTTTCTAAAACAAAATAATTTGAACTTTGAAGAGTTT